GAGTGGAGGCGGAACTAGGATACTGGCAGTCTCTGGGTGGGCTGGACCACCAGGATGGGTTCCCCAGTGTGCAGTCCCCAAGCTTCAGGAGGTTCTGAGTAGGCCAGAAGCTATTTTTGATTTTTTGAGACAGGGTTTCCCTATGTAACTTTTGGAGCCTGTCCTGGAACTAGCTCTTGTAGACCAGGTTGGCCTCAAACTCACAGATATCCACCTGCCTCTGTCTCCCAAGTGCTGAGATCAAAGGCATGTGCCACCACTGCCCAGCTCTGAACATGCATTTTGAAGGGCCAGATACATTATCATCCATCCCATTAGATAGTGGGCTCTGTGAGAGAAGAGACTTCATGAGACTCTCACTGCTGCATCCTTAGCAGCCAGAACAGTACCAAGCATGAAAGGTTCTTAGTTACTGTTTGTGGAATGAATGCATCAGTTTAAAATATATCTAAAAAAGGCCTCTGGATGGAACAGTGTGTGTAAAGGCATGGAGTTGTGAAAGGGTGTGGCATGGTTGGCAATGGCCAGAAACTCACTGGGGCTTTTGCTTGTGACGTGATAGAGCTGAGATCTCATTCTGGTCCTAGAGTCCCCTTCCTGGCCCTCTGCTGGCAGGCATTGGTCATGCCAAAAGCCCATGGCTATTCTACCACCTTTGCCTGGTTAAAATTCTGGGCCAGGGTGTCTTGTATTAAAGCTGATATTAAGCCATAAAATGTAATACGTTATGACACCATAAAATGCAGTGTAATTGCTATAAAACCATAAATGTAATGTAACAGGCACAGTGTCCATTATGCGCTTCATAGTCTCAGACGGGTTAGCTTCTACTCTTAGACAAACAAACAGTTCCTACTCACTGCTACCTCTGGAGAAAGGTACAGAGAAACCATCCATGATGAACATGAATCTCACAGTGCAAACACCCACGGAGGACGTGGTGTGGCATGGAGGAAAATCCCCAGGCTTTGTAGTTAGACAGAACCTATGTTCCATGTTTGATTCAATAATGTCTAGATTGAGATCCTGAAAAGCAAAGCCACATATGGGGATTCAGACCAGTTTCCTCCCAGAATCCCTTTGTCCGGCTCCTTCTCCCCACAGCCCCCAACCCTGCTCTCCTCCCTCTAGATAGTAATACCCAGTGTCTGTGGGGGTCATTCTTACATCTCAAAACAGTCACCTATCAGATAAGTATTTCTTCATGGGATGCCCATGCAGGCATCCTTGAGCAAGGTAGATAGATGGGTGTGAGCAACTGTTAGCGGCCAACATTTGCAGTGTTTGAGTGAGGGGTACACTAGTGGGAAGGATGTGGGTAGGAAAGGGTGATGGTGACTGCAGCTGACACAAACAACTTATAATGTATAGCTGTGTCATTTTGTCCAAAGGCCATCTTCCTACCTGTATATTTTCATTATAAAATGTAGACATTTTACCTATGGTTACCTATGGTAAAGCACACATACAGAAATGAGATCAGAAGGAGTCTTATGGAGTCCCAGACTGACAGTGTTTTGACATACAGATATGTGTATATATACATATTACACACATAAACAAAGCATCATGTAAACATAGTCATACATGTGTATGTGTGTGTATATATGTATACATATATGTATACATCAAATACATAAGCAGAGCATCATGTAAACATAATGGATTAAGAAATGACACATTACATGTGCTGTGGGAGATAGTAATTTATATTCTGACAGACTTAAGGACAGACTTAAGTGTGACATATAGTAAGTCATCTAAGTTCAGGTTGGTATCAGGTCTGCACAGTCGAGGATTCTCAACCCCTGTGGATAACAGGGCCTGGCATTTGCATATAATTCATACACATCCTCTGTATACTTTAAACCACTTCTGTATCACTTTCAGAGTCTTGTATGATAGAAATACCATGCACTTAGCGAAACTGTTGTCCAGGGAACCTGGAGGCAGGAACTGATGCAGAGGCCATGGAGGGGTGCTCCCCCCAGCTTTCTCCCCATCCTGTCTTCTTATACTACTCAGGACTACCTGCCCAAGGCTGGTACCACCCACACTGACATGGACCCTCACACACCCATGATCAAGCAAGAAAATGTGGCACAGGCTTGATTGCATATCAGTTCTAATAGGGTCATTTTTTCAGTTGAGGTTCCTTCTTATCAAATCACCCTACTATGTGTCAAACTGATATAAAATTATATGTGTGTGATGGGGGGTTGTGCCTGTGTTTGAGTGTGTGTGCTCTTGAAGGCTAGAAGAAGACATATCTTGGATCTGGAGGTATGGTCATTTTTGAACTGCATGCTGGGAACTGAATCTGGATCCTTGTACTAAAACAGCAAATGCTGTTAGTCACTGAGTCATCTCTCCAGCCCTTGCTATCACTTCTATACATGCATAACCAACTCCTCCTGTCTGGGAATTCACACTCATAGGTTTGGCTCAATGGTAGATTTAAAACTATTTACAAAATACAGTCTAGAAACCTTCAAAGCAGACATAACAAAATCATCACAAAACAAAAGCATCGTAGGTCTCAGCTGCACAGCACATGAACATGGCTCTGGGCAAATGATGCTCAAATAGGTGCCAGAGACTAAGGTGTGTGAAATGACTGGAGGCTACAGCGGGGCTTGGGTGCATCACTTCATTTGGATTCATTTTGGTGCTGGACACTCAACATATTCAAGTTATGCTTTTTGAAGATTTCTAGATGGTTTGGCAGTATAGTTGGTGAATTATGGGAAAGGAAGGAAAGAGGGACGTGGGTTCTTGCCCAGGAGGAGCTGACACTGCCTAGGAGCTCAAGCTCAGTGAGTAAGGGTACCTATGCTGGGGTATGATAAAGAGGGGTTAGCTAGATGCTTATGGTAGGAGACAAGAAAAGAAAGACACGGGGCATAGAGGAAGGAGAAAGAGGACGAGAAGAAAAAAGGAGAGAAATGAGAGAGGGACAATCGTGCAATAACAGAGACAATGGTTGGAAAGACAGAGAGAGACAGGATTAAGGGTTCCAAGAACAGAGGAGAGTAGTCCCGGTTGTCTGAGAATGCATTTCTAGATCACCAGTGGGGTATATGAAACCACAGACAGTATTGAACCCTGGATATAGTGTGTCCTCTTCTATTGATATCTATGACCAGTTCAATTCATAAATCTGCCATAGAAAAATGGCAACAATAATGGATAATATTGAATGATTGGGATAGAATGTAATTGGGGCTAGAGAGATGACTCAGCAGTTAAGAGCACTGCTGCTCTTCCAGAGGACCTGGGTTTAATTCCCAGCACCCCCATGCTCACACCTGTCTGTAACTTCCAGTTCCAGGGGATCTGGAACCCTCACTTATGTAGAGCTTATGAACTCCTTATTTATGGATTTTTTATTTAGTTTTATTTTTTTTGCACCACAGTGAATAACAGGTCCAAAGAGAGTGAGCACTGTGGATTAGAGAGGAGTTAGCTGCATCGTTTACAATGGAGGATGGAGGAAGGATGGTGTGAGGTGGGCTGGAGAAATAAGCAAGGATGGATAAAGCATAAGCAGATGATGGCACACACCAAACCACAGGACGACATGATAATATGTATGCAGCCCATGCTTCTAGCTACCTAATCTCCTAACCAACAATGTATATGCACACACATCTATCAACACAAAGCCCCCTAAAACCACATGGAACACCTCCTTATTCTAGTCCATTCCTTTATTCCCTGGGAGGTGGCAGAAGAGTTCATCTAAGACAGACACTAAGAAAAGCTTCGAGGGCCTTCCGTGGCATTTTCTCTATTCACTTTCAGGTGGTGGTGTGAACACTGGCAAGCCATGGTTATTATCTAAGCTAGTGGCCCTGCAAGACATCTTGTCTCTCTCAGCGGGAAAGTATGACCTGTCTTGACGCAGTAGTCAGTAATGACAGTGCCTCGCTACAGCTTGGCTTCCTGGCAGCCTTCTTCCAATGCAGTTACAGTCCGCCCCAAAGTGTCATTAGTGAACACAACAGACCATAAAAGCAGGCAGGAAATGAGTCAGCACAGCAAACCCACTGTGACGTTCAGGGAGAGACACAAAGAACCAGCAAGTGGGAAAGGCATGATGCCAGAAAGAGAAAGCCGCTGCTGCAGGCTGGGCTTAGAAACTGTAAGAGGACATAGAGCCTGGCATCTTCCAGCACTACTGGCTGTGCATGCCTGAGCTCGTGTTCTGAGAAAGAACCTTGTGGATACATGCATAGGAGTGGCCACTGTGTGATTATGTGTCAGAGTAAATGGGAGAAGGCTTTCAACTCCCAGGGGCAAGCCATAAAGCTTGATGAAGATTGAGAAAAACAGATTATCTGTTATGCTGCCTCCCTGCTTCTGCATAGAATATTTCTAAGCAAGGGAGATGTGTCACCAAAATGTCGACCACAAGACAAGTGAGAGTAGTGTCCTAGTCACTCTTCTACTGCTGTGAAGAAACACCATGACCACAGCAACTCATAAAAAAAGCCCTTAACTGGGGGCTGGGTTACAGTTTCAGAGGTTTAGTCCATCGCCATCATGGCAGGGAACATGGTGACACACAGGCAGACATGGTGCTGGAGAAGTAGCTGAGTGTTCACATCTGCAGACAGTGGGAACAGAAAGAGACCTTGGGCCTGGCTTGGGCTTCTGAAACCTCAAAGCCTACTCCCAGTGGCATACTTCCTCCAACAAAGACACATGTACTCCAATAAGGCCACACCTCCTAATCCTTCTCAAGCACTGTCACTCCTTATGCTGAGTATTCAAATATATGAACCTATGGGGACCATTCCTATTTAAACAACCACATATGGAGTGTGTCAGATAGTTCTGTAATCTGTTGTAGAAGGATCATGGCCTGGGTTAGGCATATCTTTCTTGTTTGAGAATGGACTATTAGGCCTTTGGATTTATACCTGGCAACTTCAGGGAGCTGTCCTGTGAAGGAGAGTGGGGAAAAGAACCACTCATTTGCTTGATACATTTTGCAGATGTCTACAGGTACTGAGAAGTTATAGATGCACCTCTAGGATGGAAAGGTGAATGTATCAAAAGAAAATTTATCAGGAAAGGACCTAATGGGAAAGACTGCCTGGAAAGTCCCTGCACAGTTTGCCTAAGGAGAGTCATGAAGGAGATGGTGAGTGTTAACATTATATAATATCTCCTGTGAGTGTTACATTGTATACCATTACCTATGAGTGTTACATTGTACATCATCTCCTGTGAGTGTTACATTGTATACCATTACCTATGAGTGTTACATTGTAATCATCTCCTGTGAGTGTTACATTGTATACCATCACCTGTGAGTGTTACATTGTGTATCATCTCCTATTCCTCACTGTGTTGCAATGCACATGAGACTACAAGCCCCGCTGAAGAATGTCTTAGTTGAGGTGAAGTTTAAGCTGCTGTAACAAAGAGCACCCCCCCCCGCCTCAGTGCATTCAAGGAGATAGTTTATTTATTATTCTTGGCTTTGCTCCTTAGGAACTCTTATCTTTCTGGAGCATTGTCCTCATTTTTGAGGCTCTGCTGTAGGAGTGCACATCCTTGCACACCCTTTGTAGACAGGAACAAAGAGGAAAATAACACAACACACATATTTCTTTCAAGCAAGTGAAGTGATGCTAGCCATATCACTATTGCTTTCATTCCATTAACTAGACCCTTCGTACAACAAGTTCTTGCCCCAAGAGAGGCTGGGAAATGTAGTTCCCAGCTTAACTGGCTCATATTCCTCCATCATCAAGCAAGAAAGGAAAAATGGGATTTCATTAGAAAACTGGCAGATTTAGTGCCATCTTGTCCCTGATGGGAGTCGCTGTGCTTTCTCCTCTGGATTATTGTTAGTCTTGTCAAATGCACCTTTGTACCTGTCACTCTAAAGCATCAGAGCCACTTAAACAGGTTTCTCTACTCAGCACTATCTGGTGGTCTCCCATGTGTGCTCCGGATAAAAGCCAAAGTTCCTGGAATTGTTTACCAAGCACCACTGGTTTCCAGCCCCTATCCATGCTTCTAACCTCATCTCCTCTCTCCCCCTATCTCACTCTGCACACTGATCCATGTCAGGCATGAACCTACCTGAGGGTCTTTGCACTGCCCAAGGGCTCAGCACCTGTGAGTTCTCTGAGCCAGGGATGGGCCTTAAGATCTCTACATAAGCTATCCCGGAGAGAGGGAGTGTGATCTTGGACAGTGGACTCTGTAGCACTCAGGAAATAATCTGAACCCAGTGAGTACATTATGATGCTAGCAACTGGTGTTATTCTGTGATTGGGGGTAGAGGAGATTGGATGGAAACAAAGAGACCAGTAGAAAGATCTGGAAAGGGCATTTTTGTTTATCATGGCACTTCTCAGAATGGCCAAGATATGGAAATAGCCTAGCTGTCCATCAACAGGTGAATGGATAAAGAGAATGTGGTATAGACAATGGAGCTTTACTGAGATGTAAGGAAGAATATAATTATGCCTTTTGCAAGAAAATGGATGAATCTGAACATCATTGTGTTCAATGAAATATAAATATCATGTTTTCTCTTACATGTGAAATATATATTTAGATAGATTAGAAAGGGGATATGTGGGGGATGGAGTAGGAGGATAAGAGAGGATCCTGGGAGGGAAAAGGAGAGAAAAACATCTCACATTCCCTCTCACATGCAGAACTTAGATTTAAATAACACGAAGACAGAGTAAGACTAATTGGGGTCAGGGCATGAAGGAGCCCACTAGTGGGGGGCTAGGAAAGGCACACATACAGATGAAAAGGTCATGAAGAATCCCAGTGCTCTGTATATTCACTACAAAGACTTAATTTGGAAATGTATCCTTTAATAGAAGTCCAGATCATGGAGGAGGCTCAGTGGGTAGAGTGCTTGCCATACAAGTGCGAGGTCCTGAGTTCAGATCTCAACCATTAAAGCAGAATGTGGTGCTTACAGCAAGACGGATGATGCAGACCAGAATCCCAAGAAGTTTCTAGACCAGCTAGTCTAGTTACACACAGAAACAAGCATCAGGAGACCCTCGCTCTAACAAGTTGGATGGCAAGGACCATTTGAGATAGTCTGCCTTCCACATATGACTATGATATGTGGGTGCCCACACTTACACTAGTGAATGTGTGCACACACGATTTTAAAAGGACCTGTCAAGAAATGGCTCTTCAGGTGGGGGTCCTTAGAGAAAGCAGGAAACAGAAGATTTGAGAAGAGAATATAAAGACTGAACTCCATTGGACAGAGATGGGTGTGAGGGAATCTTGCCATTGTTGGGAAGCTAGATGCCTCACCCATGAGTGGCAGCTTTCTGGTCCCTACACTTGAGGACTTGAGGATTGCTTGCTTGAGACTCATAGAAAAAAAAATGTCAAACAAAAGTATTCTTGGTAACCATGTGTGTCCCAGCTACCCCCATATTTCTTATAAACCATGTCACAGTATTGATCTATGGACTATTGTTATAACATGCTGACTCAGAACTCTGTTGGAGAGCTACAGTCTGCAATGTTGACTGCACTCTCTTGCCTCATGTGACACTTAGTATTGGTCAATTTGACAGGATCTAGAATCATCTAGCAGATCACTCTCTGGGTGTGTCTGTGAAGGAGTTTCTACACTGGGTTAATGGAGATGGAAAACACACCCTAAATATGGGCAACACCATTGCATGGGGCTCAGGTGGAGTGGAACAGAGAGGGTGGGCTGAGTATCCACATTAACCCCTCTGCTCCCTAACTCCAGAGCTTGTGTGGACCACTGCCTCAATCTCCAGCTGCCACACCTTCCCTACCATCCTGTGTTCCCTGGATGCAAATAAATAAACCCTTTCTTGAAGCTGCTTTTATCAGATTATTTTGCCCCTGTATTGAGAAAATATTTAACACACCCCTATGTCTCTAGGGCTCCACAGAGTCAACAGAGAGATGAACAACCAGTAAGAGGCTGCATCGTGAGTACTTCATGTCTTGAAAAGCATTGCGCTGAGCCTTCATTACCAGCCACTCAATGTCTGACTTTGGGTACGGCATTTCCTTCCCTGAGCTTTGGTGGGCCAAGTGAGGAGGTTTGGACTCAGCCATCTCTGATGACCCTAGGATATTCAGACCGCCTTTAAAGGAAGGAGTTAAAATGCACAAGAATCCTGTGAGGTGAGCATGACCAGTGAGGATATTGACATGGAAAGCTGCTTGAGCCAGGTGACATTTGCTAAGTGCTGGGTGCATCTAAAGACAGCCGTAGAACCTAATTGTCTCTAGAATTCTATAGCAGAGTCATCTTGCATCTTGGGGAAAGATTATCCAATCTGGGGTCTCAGATGTTTAGATTGGCAATTGTGGAGCACTATGTAAAGATGTGTCTCTGTTCTTCTTTGCCTACCTAAGGCGACTTCTGATTGATTTAAGAATGACCAATAGCTAGGCAGGGGAGGATAGGCAGGACTTCCAGAGAGAGAGAGAAGAACTTGGAGGCAGAATCAGAGAGGCAGGGATTTGCCAACCAGACATGGAAGAAGTGAGAGATACTGTACTGAGGAGGTAACAAGCCATGTGGTAGACTGTAGATATGAATGGCTTAATTTAACTTTTAAGACCTAGTTGGGAACAAGCCTAAGCTAAGGCCAAGCTTTCATAACAAGAAGTCTCCATGCCATTATTTGGGAGCTGGCAGTCCAAAGAAAGTCTGACTAAAGGCAATCCCAAAGCTTCAGCCTTACATCCAGCTTGTTCTCTTATTCTATGGCTACCTTTATCTTGGGCAGTCAAGGCACTGGGGATCCTGAAGAATTGATTATCCGAAGAACAGTGCTATCCCAAGAGTGACAGGCACGAGGCACAAGAGTCCACATTGACAACAGCACAGTCACAGTTTTATTGACAAACCTGAGCTAGCAAAAAGACAGATCTCATCCTGCCCAACTGCCCTGGCTTTCTAGACCCCATGCAGCTGATGTCTGCAGGGAGGGCAGATTTGGGGGCTCAGATGTTAGAGCTAAGGTGAATCCCACACCCCTTCTCCCTGCCCAGCCAGGCACAGTGTGCAACTGGCAGGACATGCTCAGCACTCTCTCACTCTATTCAGGGACAGACACACACAGAAGCCATGCAATTTCCCGTGAACCCAGCTAGGGCCCAGGCAGGAATGCAGGGTAAAGAATGCATGTGCGTTCAGTGGGTATTGGAAATCCATGCCTTCCTGTGGGGAAGGTTGACCCTCCATATTGAAACCCTTAAAGGCCGGTATGTACATTTAGCAGGTGCTCCTTAAGTTAATTACATAAATCTATCTGCATGGAAGCAGGACTGGATGTTTAACAACTAAATAGTGGTTGTTTTAAAATATATATTTATTTTAAATATGTCTAATGGTTATAATTATAAATTAATATATCAATTGCATATATATCATACATATTTGAAAACCAGGGTCTTCCCTTGTAGCTTAGGCTGTACTAAACTAAGATTCTCCTGCCTCAGCTTCTTCAGCACTTAGATTTCAGGAGTGGATCATCACATCTGGCTAGTATGCATATTTAACTGACAATTCCTAAGCAGCTTTGTGTTTATAGAAATATTGAGTGCAAAGTGCAGAGGCTGACCTCATCCCTCCTACAGAGTCCCCCTTTCATTAATATCACGTCAATGCCATGCATCCACACAATGGAATATTACCAAGCAGTAGAACGTTGTAAGCTGCTATGGGATGAGTCAATACGGGCACGTCATTATAAATTATATTGCTTATAATTGGGTTTGTTCTGTGTATTGTTAATTCTATGTGTTGTGATACATGTGTAATGATGTGCCTTTACTATGATGGTTTCACATAGCAGGGTCCCACTGCCCGGAACACCTGAAGTGTGCAGGTGCTGGTGTACATGCATATTGTATAGGTGTGTGTGTGTGTGTGTGTGTGTGTGTGTGTGTGTGTGTGTGTGTGTGTAGGCCAAAGTTAATGTTAGGAACTTTCCTTATTCATTAAGGCAAGATTTCCTCAACTGAGCCTAAAGCTTGCTGATATGGCTAGTCTATCTCTGCCTCCTGAGGACTCAGTTTACAGGGCAGGCCACCCCCAGCATGTAAGTGGATAATGAGAATCCAAGCCCTGGTCCTCAAGCTTGATCCATAGAGCCCTGTCCCTGTTACTTTAACACTAAATAACATTCCATTGTGTGACTGTGTGACAGCTTATTTATCTATTTACCTACTTCTAATTTGGGGTGATTATGAATACAGCCACTCTAAGCCTTCACGTGCAGATTTCCACCCCCAAGTCACTTGGGTAAATGCCACAAAATGACAAGGAACAATGGACGGATACCACGGTATGCGTGGGTTTACGTTTTTATCTTAAAATGAGGCTATTTTGCTTTATGTGTGAAGGTTTCACCTGCATGTCTGTGCACCACAAGAGTGCTGGGATTCTACAGAGGTCAGAAGTCCCAGTCCCCTGGGATTGGACTTGGAGATGGTTCTTAGCCACCATGTGAGTCCTGGTAATAGAACCAAGGTCTTCTGAAAAAGCAATAGGTGCTCTTAAGCACTGAGTCATCATTTAAGCAAAGGAACTAATCTAACTTGCATCTAAAGTTGATGTGCCTTCTTGTAGTCCCATTGGCAATGAATGAGTCATCCGGCCATGTCCTCACTACTATTTGGTGCTGTTGGGTCATCCTATAGGTATAACTGTGGTACTCCAGTATTGTTTGATTTGCAGTCCTCTAATAACATGCCTACTGCATACACATTTGCCATCTGTATGCCTTCCTTGTTGAGGTGTCTCTACAGACCTTTTTTTTTTTTTTTTACCATTTTAGACTTATTTGTTTATTATGTATACAGTGTTCTGCCTGCACGTATCCCTGCAGGCCAGAAGAGGGCACCAGATCTCATTACTGATGGTTGTGAGTCACCACGTGGTTGCTAGGAGTTGAACCTGGGTCCTCTGGAAGAGCAACTGGTGCTTTTATCCTCTGAGCCCCCATTTTTACCATTTTTAAAATCTGAATTGTATTCTGCTATTGTCCTTCAGGAGTCATGGTGTTTCTGGGTTTTCTTTGTAAATTTTGAAGAGTTTGTCTCCCATCTGTGGTTTGTCTTCACATTTTCCTGTCTTTCACAGAAATGAAACATATAAATTTGAATGAATTCCAACTTATTTCTTTCACAAGTCATGCAATGTATATTTGAATCTGGGGTGACAATGCCAAATCCAAGGTCACCTAGATGTTTTTCCCATTGACTCAAGCACCTCCCACTAGGCTTTACCTCCAATGTTGAACAATCATAAGTTTCAACACAACACAACTTTCCATGAGGACAAATGGCATTCACGCTATCACAGGCATTAGCCCCTCTTAAGGAGGTAATCCCTTTCAAAGGGCCCACCTCCCAACACACTGCCACAGTGGTGGTCAAAGGTCAATGTGAATTTTGGCGGCACAGACCATATTCAAATGACTGCAGGAACCAGTCCTGTGATAGTGCCTACAACAGCTGGAAGGATGGACAGCAGAAAGCTGTGGGCTTCAACAGACATCAAGTTCAGTGACTGAGACAATAAGGGCTTTCCCCACTGAACCTCTTAGTCCCCTTAGGATCCTGTTCGGGTGCGGTCCCTTTTCCCCACCATTGCCCATTTTCTCTTCCCTAGCTTATAGTCCTTTGTTAAGTTTCCTCTCTCTCTCTCTCTCTCTCTCTCTCTCTCTCTCTCTCTCTCTCTCTCTCTCTCTCTCTCTCTCCTCATGTCCCATATCTATCCTAGATCAGAAATGTTATGATTACAGCCTCAAAATTCAAAATTGTTCTTGAAGGAACATGTTGGGGGAACTAAATGGTCTCTTTCTAAGACTTACTTCCAAGAACAGAGAATAGCTCGCTGCATTTGTGGTTATAAACCATGTTGAGATTATATCTATATCTGTAATATTTATTTGCTGTCTGTTTATCTCCATCTATATTATTTCTTTATCATTTATATCCCTCTCTCTCTACTTACCAATCACCTACTGTCTATCTATCTATCTATCTATCTATCTATCTATCATCTGTCTACCTACCTATCTATCCATCTGACATCTATATCTACCTGTCACTATCAATCACCTATCACCTATATATCATCTATCTAAATAGGAGTACTGCTCATTTCTATGTGTCTTCAGACTCTAGAACCTTCCTCTATCATGGTGCCTGTGTCCCCTGTCTGAGAAGCAGGTGGACAATGGTACTAAGGGAAGGTACAGCAGGCAAAGGCCTCTTCCTGTCTCACCCTTATGCTGGGGCATAATTTACAAGCACCTGTATATTCTTACCACTTTTAACATTAATTTTGGAGGCTTCTAGTAACCATATTTCATTAAGATGCATAGTTTTTCCATGATGAGCTCCTCACAATTGAGATGTGTTTCATAATTCCCCATCAGTCAGTGAGCATGCTGGACTTCAATAATTCTCCATCAGTCAGTCAGTGAGCACGCTGGACTCGCAGTTTCTGCTCCTGAGCACCCTTGGTCTCAGGTTTCACACTGAGACCACTCTAGCTGAGTCATGTGGCTGACACTTGACCCATTGGTTTTAATTGCCACTTGGAATGTCCTCTAAAATTATGTTATGATATGATTTCCCATTGAAACAGAAAGTCTCTGTGCATCCATAGAGGCTCCCAATAGAGCAAGGACAGAAGTGTGACACTAGTGAAACAAGCTGTTGTTTTGGGGGAATGACTCTGGTCTCCTTTTTTTTTCTTACAAAGCAGCAAACAAATCTTTGCTTGACCCCCAGAATAAAAACAACCACAAGTAGATGACGCTGTGTTATATTTTGTCACAGATGAAGCTGTGTTATATTTTGTCACAGAGCCATGTATAAAAGAATTTCATCTGCTTTTGTATATGAGGATGTGCGTGCATACGTGCTGCACACTTTTTTTTTTTGGTTTTTACGAGACAGGGTTTCTCTGTATTGTTTTGGAGGCTTTTGGTCCAGCCTGGCCTCAAACTCACAGAGATCTGCCTGCCTCTGCCTCCCGAGTGCTGGGATTAAAGGTGTGCGCCACCACCTCCCGGCCAATTTTGGGTTTTTCAGGTGTTGTTGTAAACATCTCTTGTTTGGAGACAGGGTCTCTCTCTGGCCTGGAGATTATCAGATAGACTGGGCTGGGGCCAGTGAGTCCCAGGGTCTCATCTCTATGGTGCTAGGATCACAAGCATGGACCACTACACCTGGCTTTTTGTGGGGGTGTTGGGGATCATTGTAGGTCCTCATGTTTGCACAGTAAGCTCTTTACCAATGAAATCATCCCCTTTGCCCTTAAAACAATTTCTTATTATACTATACACCAAGCCTTGGGCAGTGGCGATGAGAGGAAACTACCAAGTTCTTTAGAACAGGTTGAAATACTCTCACGTGAAGAATGCTGAGACTCACATGAAGGAAGGAGGCTGCAGCTGGCTGAGATCCTGCACAGGGCTGTGGAGGCAGTGTGCCATCACTTAATTAGAAGAGATTTTACTTTTCTCCCTTCTTTTCATCTCAAATAATGGTGCATCCTAAAATCAATTGTTTTACGTTTGACGAAATACCATCGAATTCAAGCTAATTAAATAGGCCCTACAATTCCAATTTAATGATCAATTAGCTCTTCTGGTATAATGCTGATGAGTTGTATTTATTTAAATTTCCGTTTCACCTATCTCCCTAAAGATGTCTCCTGAAAGGAGAAACAGGAAGAGAGGAAAACAAAAAGGAAAAAAACCACAAAAACAAACCCTGATTTTGAGAGTAAAGTATGTGACTAAGCAGTAATACCAACAAAACTATGTACATCCATTAGCTCAAAAATGCTACTTCTAGGAGAGAAAGTGTGAATGAGCATAACTGCTTAGCTCCCAGGACACTTACTTCTGCCAGCTTCATTTATAAGAACAAAAGCAAGAAACATCCAAAGTATGAGCCAGTGGGGCTTCTCTGTTTGACAGAATGGAGTAGTAGGCAGACATTTAAAAGGGAATCCTGTATTGGGTTAGGGGGTGGAAAGATGCTCATGGCAGGCACACTATGCACTAGAACTGGGCTTGCTATTGTTTTGATAAACCAGTAATCACAATAATCAAGATGCTGATGGGATCAACAAAGAGAATCACAGTTGGCTCCCTTCTCTGAACAGGGAGAATATTGTTTATTTTTCTTCTAAGTTTTCTCATTTTGCTGCACTAAAATGTTTTTATGGAGTTAAAAACTAATACGATTAAGGGTGGGAAAGAAAATTAATGTAGTCCCTGCTGCCAGCGAGCCAAGAGAAAGCCGTCAGCTTAAGCCACTCTGAGGTGTTTCTTAGGATGGCCACAGGCTCCTGCTCCAGTAATGACTTTTCTGCAAGAAAAAAAAAAACACATCTAATCATTCTACTAATAAAAGAATTCTGGTGGCAAATGGTTTTAGTTCAGTAATCGGAGGAGACAGTAGTGGAAGCTGTGGTCTGTTTGCATTTGTGTGGGAAGTCAGGGAGGAATCCACAGAGTCGGTAAATATTTGCTGCTTGGTTGAGTGTTTTCGTCTTCTGTCTCTCCGTCTCTTTGCTTTCACCAGGAACAGCTTCTCCATCAGCAGGGTGTGTGGAGTGGAATCCAGATGAGGGAGGTAGAAAGACTGGGAAAGAATCCGTTAGAGACTGAATGTCTGTGGGCCTCAAAGCCCATGCATACCTCAGGGCTGGAAAGGTAGCTAAGTGGTTAAGAACGCTTGCTGCTCCTCCAGACCACAGTTCCCAGCACTCACGTCAAATGGCTTATAACCATGTGGAACTCCAGCTCCAGGGGGCCTGAGGCTGTCTTCTGGCCTTCACAGGAAACCACATACACTGCACACACTTCTTAAAAACCTCCCGGGGCAGGAGAAGGAGAGGTGTTGGGAGCAGGGACAGGGACAGGTTGCCCAGGACCCAGAGAGAGGGAGAAGCCAGGATATCAACACTCAGCCCCAGTGTGACTGTGTTTGAAAGTTATTACAGCTTGAATTGGGCTGTGTCCGACTCAAACTCAGATGCTGGACATTACTTCTTGATCTGATGATGCTGTGTTTGGAGCTCTGGAAATCTGGGATGGTGGGGTCCTGACTGGCAGAAGCAGGTCACTGTGGCCTCTGAAGGGCACAATCTCCCCTGGTCTGAACATCTTCCGTTTGGTACTGCCAAGCAGGTGAGGAGTCACCCCCACACGCTTCCTTTGCTGAGAACAGAGGCATTCAGCTTTCTTGCTGTCTCAGCGTTAACCATAAGACAAAATAATCTTATTTTCTCGTTTCTTTCAGGTGTTTGGTCAGGGCTTTGTGAGCATAACTAACAGCAATGGAGAGGCTACGGAAGTAGCCATGTTTAAGTGAGTCACAAAGGTGTGGTCCTGCCGCCCGATTCCATGATTAGTGGCCTCACAAAGAGATGCAGAGATCTCTCTCCCTCGGCTCTCATCACCATCTCTGGAAACTGCAAAGAACAGTCCTTATGAAAATCCAAACTGGCCAGTACCTGGATTCTGAACTTACACCTGGGGAGCTGTGAGATAATACACATCTGTGTTTAAGCCCTGTGGTCAGCTTTCAGCTCTGTACAACACTGAGAAGCTTCTTGCATGCATTGTCTGGAAGGGAAAGAAACCTGTTTCTGCCATTGCTTGGCTGTGTGACCTTGGCCATATCCTTCACCACTGTGAGGCTGTACATTGTCATCTGCCCAGTGGAAATAATGGTTGCCTACTTGCCGTCTTGAATGCAGTAAGAACTAAGGGGCTAACATTGTCTTCCATAGCCTAATCACATCATCTCCCACTGAAAAAATATCCACAACAGATGAATGGATGGAGAAAATATCGTATATATGCTTGTGGATTGGGAACATTAATGCTGTGAAAATGACTATCTTAAAAGTGGCACGCAGTCAATACAATTCCCATAAAAATTATAACATCATCCTTTGTAGAAGCAGAAAAAAATCTTAAAATCCATTTGGAAACACAAGACCTTGGATAGTTCAGTCTTAAGGGAAAAAATACTATTAGAGGTACCACCATACCCGATTTGAAGTTATATTACATGGCCACAGGATAAAAAACAAAACAAAACAGTATTATGCTGACACAAAGGCAGAAGCAGAGATCAGTTAATAAGACAGAAAGTCCAGATAAAAACCTGCATAGCTTCAGCCTCCTGATTTTTGATAAAGACACCAAAAACACACACTTGAGAAAGAGGGTTGTATAGTGGCATCTTGCCTTGCCAGTGAACTTGTGGTGGTGGCCACACCCTTTGGGTGTGGTTTCAGGTACAGATGTGACCCATTATAAGGTAGAGGAGGGGCGGGCTCCCACTCTCTTGGGTTGCAGAGAGCATCAGGAGGGCAAAGACTGCATCTTCTGGAGCAGGAAGACCGTGGCGGTTATTTGCTCTTATCTGAGTAAGTAACTCCCTAATAAATACCTATTTATCGATTATCTTGGGTCTGATGGACTCTCATTTAAGCCCACCTTTAGGGTTGTTATATTCAAAATGCTCAACATGCTCAATGCGGGTTTATTTGTCTCCATTTTACGATTTTACAGCAGACATTTAAGGAGAACTACTACCCAGCTCTTTGTATGGTTCTGGGATATATGCAAGGGCCAGACAGAGCCCCTGCTCTAATGGGGTCAAAGCATGTCCACTGAGAAACACACACATGCAGGTTTTATGAATCAAGAGATCATTGAGTATGGGGTGAGGGAAGCAGACACTAATGAAGCATTTCCGCTCCACTGAGGTTGGTAGAGCACACCCTGGCATTAGCGGGGAAGGTGGATGGAGAGTCGAGGTAAGGACATATACACACACGGCAGGTGATGTCTCAAACACTGACTAGGGGTGATGACCCCTGCTGCCCTCAGACCAGATGAGAAAGAGCCCTGCCTACACACTCTGAACACTATCAACCTTAAGTTTTTGTGCTCATCTCAGCCCTGAGAGGTGCTCGGTCCCTCTATACCAACTGCCATTTTTCAGATGGTAAAACAGTCACGTATAAAATCTAGGAAGCATATGTTATATTGATTTGCTTACTATGACTATAGTGGCAAGCATTTTCCCTCAGATGACATAACTCCGTTCAACAAATGAGCTAACAGATTATCCTCAAAAGGCAAAGTACAAATGTGCAGATTTCCAGCTTCGTTAACTGTCAGAGGCTCGATGAGCAAAACTGCAGTGAGAGTCCATCTAACCCCAGTCAGGATGTCAGGCATTAAGAAAAGAAGAAACAACAGATTCTGGTGAGGTTACGATGTGGATGGAAGGGGAGGTTAATCACTCCAGCCCTTATGGAAAATGTATTGAAGATTCTCAGAAAATGGACAGACTACCATATGACCCACATATATCACTTCTAGGTGAGATTAAGAGCTGGAGACATGAATTTATCAGATGACAGCGGTGGCACAGACTACCAGGCACAGAGTTCTTCCTGTGTCTTAGCGCTTCGTGGAGTCTTTGACGCAATTCTTAGAGCAGGCCTCACTTTTACTTCTTTTTTTAAGCTCAGTTGTTCAAGATTGCACAGCTGATCAAAGCCCTTAACTAGGATTTAAACTCAGAGCTGCGTGCTTGAGTCCCAACTTCATCTATAATGTGTGTGTCCGTAGCATAAAATAGTGCGTGTGTTAAAAGACCTGAAGAATAAGGGTCCCCTTAAAATGTGGGCCATCGTCCTCAGGGACGGGAGAAGGTGGGTTTTTCAAAGCGCCTAAACAGAGCTGGAGGGTCCTAGCCGAGGTATGAGCTGAGTGGGAGATGAACCTGGGTGGACTTCCTCCAGTTTCCACAGGGGGCGCTGTATACACTGTGAGAGGATTTGCCAGGTCGTCAAAAATCATTTCATCAAAGCTCCCTAAAGATCAAAATGCTCCTGATCAATTGATCACCTTGGCTCAATTTGCCCATTTTTCAGAACCCGATTTTAAGGCTGTTTCTTATCAATAGTGATGACTAGGAATATATTCCTTTTGAATAAAGTTGACAGCAAAATGCTGTTTTAACTCACTCGGTGATAACACTCAGTGAATTTATATTTCTTGAATACTCTTATCATGAAATTATTCAAGGGATTTTAATTATATTCCAGATTCTGTTTAAGATATTCCTTAGGAGCAAGCAGTCCTAAGAAGGCTAAACGGCCCCCTTGATATTTAGCTTCAGACAAATGGGGCTTAAAATGCTGCCAAGGAGAATGTGTTCATTGAATATATTTAAGACGAATTTATTAAGACCATTTTCATATTCATTGAATATGAGAGCGTCCATCTCCAAGAACACACTTTTAGCAAATTCAGCAAATGTGTGTATTTGATGGTCTGGCTTCGGGCCAGGTGGCTAGGTACCCTACGACTTCTATGGGAGTCCAGTGTGTGGCAGGTCCCCCCTCAGAGCTCTAAGTGTCAGAGCTCCAGATAGGAAAATGTTGTTATGCCCCCAAGCACCACTCTGACTCTTTGGTTAGTTTCATAAGAGAAAGCGGCAGGGAAAGAGGAGGAGGAGCTCACACTGGCTCCCATATGCGGCCCAGAGCTCTGCATGCATTTCTCTCCCATAAGCCATCCTCGGGGTTGGCTATGGAAGCATCCTTTAAGGGCTGGCGAGATGCCAGCGGCGAAGAGCACTTCCCAGGTTTGGTTCCCAGCATCCACATGGTGGCTTACCACTGTCTGTAAACCTAGTTCTAGGGGATCTGACACCCTTGTCTAGCCTCCATGGGCATTTGCACATGCATAGTGCACACACACACACACACTCAGGCATACATACATACACATAAAAGAAACGTTTTAAACTATGCCTTCCGTGAGGATAATGATGAAAAGAGAGGTGAAGTGGTTTCTGTAAGTTCATCTCATCACCAAGGACAGAACATGATTCACCCTTAGGCGGAGTTAGATTTGAACCTAGAATAGGATTTTTCCTCAGCTGGGAATTTGAACTCAGGCAGGGAAAGTTGTCATCTAGGGCAGAATGGGGATTTGAACTCAAAATCCAATAGCCTTGGTTGCAGATTTGTACTTTCCTCCCTCAACTCCCTGCAAAGATAGCTTTCCCAGACCTTCATTGGGTAGCTCTGTGGGTAAAGAGCTTGCCTGGCGAGCTTGCAGAGCTGAGTCCCATCTCCAGCACCATGTTTAAAAGAAACAAAGCTGGGCGTGGTGGTTCACGCTCGTAATCCCCAAGTCCTAAAGAGGTGGAGATGGGTGGATCCCTGAGGTTTGCTGCTGGTCAGGCAGCCTAGCTGACTTGGTGACTTCCAGGTCACCAAGAGACCTCAAAACAAACAAGTGGGGGGGAGGCACTTGAGAAATGACAATTAAAGCTGTCCTAGGGCCTCCACACACATGCGTTCTTTCGCACACATGCACATACAAATACAAGTTTTAAAAAATGAAAAATGGGGTCCTGCTCTTGAGGGCTGAGTGGGGAGGGACTCTGCAAGAAGGGCCTCTGGGAGACGGAGGGAAGAACTTGGTGTGAAGGATTCTGGGAGCTGGAGAGTGGAGATTTGGTGTGAGGGATTCTGGGAGCTTGGGAGGGGCAGAGATTTGAGGTGAAGGATTCTGGGGGATGAAAGACAGAGATGTAATGTGAGAAATTCTGGGAAGTGGAGGACAGGGACTTGAAATGAGGAATTCTGGGAGCTGAAAGACACAGAATTTTGTGTGAAGGATTCTGGGAGCTGGAGGGTGGGGACTTGAGGTGAGGAATTCTGGGAGTTGGAGGGCAGCTCTCAGGATTCTGCTTGGATAGCAGAGAACTTAGGGGAAGGAAGAGAAGCAGCTGGGGGTCAGATGGACAGGCCCAGTTCGCTCTCTCTGTGGCATGTGAAAACAAAGATCGTGGAAACCCGGCTGACTTCCCATTTGTATCTTTGTCCAGTGGTCATGTGGAGATGTTAGAGAACAAGAAGGAAGGTCACCAGAGTAGATAGATGCAGCAGCGGCTTCATACACCCAAAGCGTTCTCTTCATTCTTCTTTAGGGGAGCAGACCCTTTGTGTTCTAGGAAACACCCAGCACAAATGCATTGCTGGTATGTTAGAAAACATCCATAAAGACTCCCGATGAATCTACCCTTTCCTACACTGACGTGTCATTGGTGCTGTCAGGCATATGTCTGTTTGGGCTTTGGTTTTTGCGCAGTTTTAAAGCGGCATCATCGCGTACATATATGCAAACTGGCGGATTTCACTTATTGTGATCATAAAGGCAATTCCTCAGCATGATTTGTGTGTGCGTAGGCTTGTATGTGAACGTGTCTGTTAAGCGTGCGTTTCTGTGGGTTCATGTGTGAGTACCTGTTTGCATTCATGTGTGCGTGCACTGATGTGGAGGCCACGAGTCAAACTTGTGTGTTGTTCCCCAGGATCCATCCACTTTGTTGATGGAGACAAGGTCCCTCACTGGCCTAGGACTTGTCAGTGAGCCTCGGGCATCCCCACCTCTTCAGCAGATGCCACTGGTTCTGTTAGTACCCGTGAGCTGTCTTCTCAGGCCCTGCCACAATTTTTGTAACTGTCAATTTCCTTTTGTTGGTTATGTCCTAGTCCCAAAGAGGTGAGAGAGGGAAGTACTTTGTGGCTACCTGTCTGTAGGGCCAAGAGCATTCAAGAGGGCTCTGGGGTTTGGAGTGTCTTGGAAGATTCTGCTGTGCAACATTTAAGGAAAGCTTGGGGGTAATATTCTACTAGTATCATGAGGCTGAGTCCCTCACCCAGGATGCCTCTGTCTCATGGATGTTTGGGGAGTTGAGTGAAATGCTCATGTTAAATGTCCATCTAGTGTCATTCTGTCCATCCACCCAACTCCCTTGGGAGGGTTCTGCATCCCCCTCCCGCTTCCCACAGACCATGCATATTGTAGCTTTAGTTCTGCCCAGACGGCCTTTTATTTTTGGCAGCACACAGCGGACCTTGGCAGCGCTGTGTGACAAGGTTCCTCTGAATGAAAGGGCCTCAGTTCCAAGGCCTCCATGCCCTTTACCTCCCCAAGGGCTGGAATTTTCCAATTCATTCTCTTCAGCCTCCCACTCTGCCTCATCCACTCTCCTTCCATCTCTTCCAGAGCTCACTGCAGAGATGGGACTCTGGGAGTGACTGCTCCGAGAAAATTGGGGACATCCTTAGGAGATGACTTCTGACCCAGAGCTGGGCCACCTCTCTAAATGTTTGTTATGTAACATTAGAGTAAAGCATAGATGACCTCAGACTCAGAATTTGTTTTCCTGTAGGATGTAGACTTTCCCACAATCATTTCTGTGTACCCAGTTAGTGAGATAATATACATCTAAAAAACACCCCACAAAGCCTGGCACACAGTAAGCACAGTAAGTACCATCAGGACATGGTACTTGGTAGGACTGTGGTTATTCCAAATGCCACAGAGACTACCAGGACCTTGTATCAAAGCAACCTGGGAAGTCAAAG